AGGTGTCTATAAATTGGGCTGTTGCTTTTTTGGTTCCATTCTTGACCACCAAAAAGCAAGTTTGAGAGACTTTTTCAGAGCAATTGTGAATCAATAGTGGGATATTTTCACAAAAAAATTTAGAGGAATTTCTTGTGGGGTGAAAATAAGCCACAGTTGAGGAGTTCAGTTGTTTCTATGAAAGCACGGAATAAAGAACATCTCAGTTTTAACAAAAAATGATGCTTTTACTATTTCTCCCAATTAAGATTGGCTCTAAACCTATCATGGCTCTAAAAAATATAGTGCATTTGATTTAAATCCTGAATGATATCCCTAGAATCAGTAATTCTCTTCACTAAATAAGATCCGTACATGGCTCTGTACTTCCAGGAGGTATATTTCATTTTAGTGGGAACAAAGAACTGCTGAATTCTACATTGAGGACAAATTTCCCATAGAGTAATTTTTAATCATCTAGTCAGCAATCCAAAGTATTCTCAAAATGCCATGTGATCATAACAGCCTTTCTTATCTGAAAGCAGAAGATTTGAGCTTATCCCAGTCTTTAGAGCTAATTCAAAATACTGCTTTTCATCAAGTCTCAAGAATTAATCTTAGGTTCTTCAGCGCTTTGCCAATAAGAGATTCAGAGGAAAATTAAGAAATCTCTCCTGACATGAATCACAAAGAGGAATCAAGCATGTTTGTATTATTATGTTGAAGATTTATTTTAAAGGGTACAATTTATATTGGTAATAAAAACCATAGAAAATGAAAAGTTTGGTAAAATACTGTAAAATGAAACAATACATTGGATCACCATGGATCAAAGGAAGGTTTCGTTTGATTAAGCATTTAAGTTTTAGTCATTAAAACGAGAACTTAAATTTAACCTTTTTTTCAATTTTGTTTAGAAAACAGCTGATGGAAATGTGACTTTGCAAACTGCTGCAAATAAATATTTAGAAATGCTCTAGGTATGAAATTCCAGTAACTTGCTATATGATTATGGGCACCATCTGCTGGTGGTTTAATAAATAACACAGTTTTGTACTTGAAGAAATGTTAAATGTTACCATCTCAAATTGTATCTGAAAAATAATTCTCCCATAAATTTAATAGATGTTATAAATCTCTTCATTTCTTATTAAATAGATTAGGGCAGTATTAACTCAGTTGTATGATATCAGAGACCATTCCTCTAATTTACAACATCTAATGTGAATTGTTATTTCATATGGAAAACCCTTCTTCCGCAGCCTATTGTGATAAGCCTAAAGAAAGTGAGGGTTGTTTTCACCTGGGTTTACAGATAGATAGCTCTTTGTACTGCATGCTTTTTTTCAAAGTGTTTTATAGATTATTGGCTTGGGGGGGTTTTCCCCAAGATTAGAACTTCTGAATTTTGAGCAAGAGTCTGCTTGTTAGTGTTTCACACCTTAACTCTGTTAAATTATGACTGAACGACAGGCAAATTGTCACGTTTCTTGCCCCTTCGACATGTGTACTACACTCTTGATTGCCCTACAAAATTTACAACACTCCAGGCCTGACTTTACAACTAGGCCTGATATTTAAGTAGTACTGTTGAGGTTCTCAATCAGGAACATCACAGTTGTTAGTGACTAGTACTCTGAAAGACTTCCTCCTTGATCAGATTTCTTAAAATTACTGTAAAGTATCTTACTTGCCTTGCTGGTGGATCATTTTCAATAGCTTTTTTATGCATCCTTCTGTGTGGAATAAGTAGCACTTATCACTAAAACTTAGTAATGTCTCAGTGATAGAGTTATCTGCTAGTCCTTACCACTTTCTTGGACAAGACTTTAGTTTTACAATGGAAGCCTCTGCATCACTGAACAGAATAAGTATAGCTGCAATATCCTTTGGGAAAGCAAATCTTGTGTCACTTGCTAATTGCTAGCACAAGACCATGACATTAGAGAAACTTTCTACTTGATTCTTGTTGTTTGGGAAATTCCATCGATTTTCCTCATTGCCTGAAATACTTTGCATCACAAAAAATGTCATTCGTACAAGCGCTCCCAGCTACACTCTGCAGAGGCACACATTGCCTTGGTTATTGCAGGTGCTTAATTTTATTTTTAATGTGTCAATTTTTGATAGTTTTAGATGTGACAAAACTACTTAAGTAACAGTAGCTGGCAGCTGCAAGACCAGTTAGCCTGGAGGGTAGACGGTCATTTGTGACTTGTTTCCTTCTCTCATCTTTAGAAGCAAAGGTCAAGCACTCTTCTGGTGGTACCAGAATTGGAGTGTTAAAGTACATTGTTTAAATGAGCAGATGCAAGCATCGCAGGTACAGATGACCTCTTCTCCACAAAGTGCGATGACTGAAACAAAACTAAGGAAACACACCTTTTAAGTGTTAGTTGGTCAGAACTTGAATTCTTTTCCACAGTCTGTCAGGCCTGCTTAAGAGAAGAAATGCTCTAGCTGGAAGGCATTTATATTAGTGTGAGGATAGGAGAGAGTTCATTTAGTTTTCTTCATTTCACTTTAAGTGAGAGACATACAGTTGACAAGAAGCAAGACTGAAAACAGAACAAGATGATGCAGAAATCAAGCCTAAATTCTGGTAAGGAATGGGCAAAATTTTATTGATTGAAGGTGGAAATGCTGATTTTCCTGAGCCTAAGAAACAGTATATTAATTCTTCAGGAGGAAAAAAAAAAATAATACTTTTTAAAAATTTCATATATGGAAGACACAGGGGAGAAACATCAATTTTTTTTTTTAAAGTGTTAATATAAATTGACTAGTTTTGTTGAAAAGTTAGCTAATATGAAATACCGAGATATGCTGATGAAGTAGGATTTTTAATATAATTTTTTTCAGTGTTGCTATGATAATAGTGTGCGTTTGCCAAGTAATTAAAAGTTCAGACACAGGTGCAAGTCAAAACAGATCTGTAATTTTAGTATAGCCAGAGAAAGGAGGCTAACGTGAATGACAAGTTTGCTAATGGCTGAAGGTTGTACACAGCTACTCTAGATTACCAAACTTGCTATAACTTGCTACCATGTGATAGCTTTGTGAATGTATGTAAGCCCTTACTGTCCTGATTTAAATACACCAAAAGGAAGAAAAAAATTTGTCCCTGAGTTCAGTACCTAAAATACTGAAAGCCCAAAATATAGTCCATTTTCACTAACTGAAGTTAGCTGTCCCTGAAAATGCGATGTCAAATGTCATAAAGACTGATTCTACCTTGTATTTAAATTTGTCAATTTCCATTTTAGTCTGATTACTGTAATGTATGACATATAGCATAGATAACTCCTCCTCAAACACTAGTTTAACAATTAGATTTTTTTCAATGTTAGAAGTGTTTGAGGAGTTGGAGGAATAGCCAACTGTAAGCGTGCAAGGAGAAAAAAGAATTCCTCCAAAACAGTCCAGATTTGAAAATGCCAAACTTTACTCTCATATTTGCAATTGGATTTTGATACTGTATATAAACTTTTTAAAGGTATCTTTGTCATAAGCACCTTAGTTTAAAAAAAATAAAAGCCTGAAGAATAATTGTTGATACAGATTAATCAAGGACATCTCTGAAACAGCCAAGCAAATTCCAATGTAGCCACAGTAATATATTTTTTCCATCTGTATGGCATTAAAAATTATTCCATGAATACTTTCAGTCATCCACTCTGAGTGATGCAAACCTATTAACATCACATAAACGCTGAGTTTCTGGTATAGCGCACCTGCTGGCCTTTGTCTTATTACATGCTTTCTTCTTTCTGCAGGACTCAGATTTGGTCTTGGTCTTTTTCTGAAAGAAGTCTGGAGGTACGGTCGACTTCACTGTATTTAACAAATCCTGATAAAGTTGAGTCATTTTTGGAGATAAACTAAATACATCATCTGCTGAAGGTGTTGATTTAAGCTCTTGACACAGTCTGTGCACAAGGGTCCCACTGTAAAGCCTGCCCAAATGAAGGGGAAAATCCTCATTTAGAATTATAACTCAATAGCAGATAACAGAAGCATGCTGCTAAGAGAACAAACACACATTTAAGCTACATATGATACTTGGCAGTGGACTTCTAAGGAATACCTATTCTACTCTATTCTTCTGTATTTTCATTATCTTTAAAGAAAGGGATCCAAATGTAGCAAAATTGGCCCAGGGAGCTTACAACCCAGAAAGTAAACAACATGTGATGCATTTCATCAGGAGCATGTGTGGAAAGCAGATCTCTGAAACATACTTACCTGGTTAAGTCTGGCTCGGAGAGAGGAGAGGAGAGTAGCTGGTTGAGATAAAAACACATCTGCAGACAGCACTGCCACTGGCAAAAAGAGTGTGCAGCATCTAAATCAAAGTCTGTATTTTGTAATTTCTTCTCCTTTGGAAATTGGTTAGATGCAATGCTGTCATCTTCAAAATTTAAAACTGTGGGATAGATATTATAGATATGGATAGATAAATGACATAACTGAAACAAATTCTGCAGTGAATATGAAAGTATCTACAATCTATAGTGTTTATAAACCTTGAACACTAATAGTTTTATTTCACGAAGCATAAAGAATAATGCGTTTTTAAGTGTCTGAAATTTGAGACATGAAATTGAGTAAAAGTTCAAGCATCTATTCCATGAGAAACTCGAATTGTGAAATCAGCAATGCTGTTTGCTAGGTAAGTTGTTATACTAATCTGTGTGCGAGTGGATCAATTTGAAAAAAGATTCACATCTCATTCCAACCTACTTAGAAGCAAGTGGCAACCGTGTCTATTCGGCTTTTAGAGTTTAGAAACTAAAGAAAAAAAAATAACCTCGGTATGCATAATCTCTTTGTCATCAAATCATGGATTCCTTCTGAAGGAAATGCTAACATGTGTTCTTACTTCTAATAACTGTAAACATTACTGAAAGTACTAAGTACTCACAGAAATTGTTTCACTTTCAAATTCTCTCAGTGCACCGGTTAGTAAAGGCTGCCTGCACAAGTTAATGCATTTTTAAGTACAGATGATTTTAGAAAAACTCTCCTGAAAGAAAAAATTCATCTATCAGAGAATGTGTAACTGGAATTATTCTGTTTTGATGCATGAATACATTAAGTTTGTAAAAAATAGGTTCAAAAATGCAAAATACTTTTTTTTGTACAAAAACCACTTACAAATACAAACTAATATCACTGTTTCATCTATTTAGTCTGTTTAGTGTGTTAAACTGCTGGATAGCACTGCTTCTCTGCTCTGTATCAATGGAAAAAATGTGATGCCTCAGGATAGAGTGTAAATCAATGCTACTTCATCTGATTTTGGACAATTGATTAAGAACAAATGAGAAAAAAAACAAGAATTAAGGTGTAGATTTTCATAGTAGTTGAACATCTAAAACTGTATTCTTTGGAGACATACCTGGATCATTTGTTGTTCTGTTCAATTCCCCAGATACCATCATTAGAAGTAAAGCCTTTAATTGATGCAGTTTTACTTTTGGTTCTGAACTGCGCGTCCAGTAACAGGTTACAGCAACAGGGAGCTGTAAGTGACTGGGGACAGATTCTAGGATACTCATTTGCACTCCTAGAGTCTCCAGCAAAAGCATCAGACGACATGACCTGGGCACCTGTAAACAAACAAAAATTTGGGAACAGAAAAATAAAGGGAACAGATTTTATTTGCTGTGAGCAAGTTCTTGCTATTTCCAAAATGCAAATGAACTTTACTTAAACTAGCCAATGCTTCACATTTTCCATAAAAATATGGTTTAGTAAGTTGCCTAGATACTCTGAACAGGACATACTTTTGAAATACTACTTCACGTTTAAAAACAATACAGCTAATTTGGGGGGAGAAGGGTAAAGCAGATTTTTACAAATGCCTGAGGTAACAGATTTTAAGAGGTTTCAGAGTCCCCTTCAAAATCAGGTGACTTAACTGACATGCCTGTGTAAAAACTGACCTGCTTGGAAAACCTAGTAACCATGATGTATTATAGTCACCTTGATAATGACAAATGAATATGTATAATTTCATTACATGCCTTTTAGAAGTTACTTGTACTTTGAGTTGTAATGCTTATGCCTATTTTTGATGTGTTCAGAACACATTCAGCTGTAATGACAATGAAATCTTCCATGTGAAGCTTGCATTTATTTTCACTTGTAATGTATGAACTCATAGCACACGTGTAGAAACAAAGAAGGCTGTATACCCTCTTTGTGCTTTTTAACTTTTAAAAGATATCAGTATAGTTTTAAACTTTGTCTGTAGGTAGACAGAGCATTTAGCAAGATAACAGCAGCCTGTTCAATTGCGTCTAGCCTGCTTTGTCGGTCTGGATTAGTACAGCTTTGCCTATTGTTAGGCAGCACATGTATGGCAGAACACAAACTGAAAGCAGTTTTGCCTGGAAGAGTTTAACATTTTAAATGCAAGATAACATCTCTTGTAACCTTTTTTTGAATTGGTAATTCCCATATGTTTAATTAGAAAAGTTCTTATAATAGCAAAACTTGGAAGATCAATACAATGCATGCATACCAAGAGCAAAGTAAGATGCCATTAATGTTTTTTAAAATCCAAAAACTTAAGAGTTTGAAAAGTTAACTGTCTGTATATTGTTTATTTGAACTAACAACAAACCCACGTAAAATGATCTGAATGCAGGCCTTTGGATCCATAGCTCTCTCTAGCAGTTAACGGTCATAGTAGTGGCAGACTAGTATCCTGTATGAAATAGGCACCAGCAGGTGATAAGAACTGTAATCAGAATAAGGTACCAATTACACACAACACTGCCAACACAGATGTGCTACAGCTGATCTGAAAGCCAGAACAGATAGAGGGGAGGACTTAAACATGCAATATTAGAAGACACAGATTGTAGTTCCTGATATTTCATAAACGACTGCATACAGAACTTCAATTACACGTCTTTCAGAATGGGAGATGCTTCCCATTCGCAGAAGTCTCATGAAGTCTTAGTCATTACAAGTTAAATACATGGAATTGCCAATGGAAAGCTAATGCTTACCAAGAATTGCTAATGGTAGAACTAATCTAGCGCACTTTTCCTTTCAAGTTGTTTTTCAGGTGCTATTCTGTCTGGCAAGCAGCAGCATCTGCTAGCCAGAAGCATACAGCAGATAGCACTTCTGTAGTCTAGGCAGTTGGAAGTTTCACAGATGGAAAAAATGGTGATTTAAAAAAAAAAAAACAAAAAGCATGTGCAGAATATTGTTTTGAAGCTGTTTACATTCAGGTAAGCCATGAATAAGTTTCACAGTGTGGAAATGCACTTTTCTATATTTCACAAAACTATTGAGTTATTTCCTAAAATGATAAAAGCAAGTATTAGTTTTAACAGACTACATAAGGATGAAAGAGTAGATACAGTAGAAAATGTAGGCAATTACTGGCTTTTCCCATAATTTGTCTTGGTATACTCAGGAAAAAAAAAAAAAAAAGAATAAAAATGAAAGCTATGTAGCTCCTACGTATTACAGGACAAGCTCAGAAGCCTTTAAGTACCTCAGTATTGAGTATACACTTATTGTGGGAGTTGTCAGTGAGACAGTTTAGTGCAGGAATCTCATTTAGGGATCAGTTTGTAAGCACGAGTCCTATTTGTTGTCACTCAGAAAATATTATTAACCATGGTCTGCTGTGACAACCATTTACCTCCATTAACTTGTCCAAAGGAAAATGATCATCACAAAAATCTGTGGGTGGGCTTGCTGCTTGAACAAGTGTTTTTTTAAGTGTCTTTTGGATTCTGTCAAATTCACATACAACTGGCAACTTGTTGATCTGCTTACTTGGAGAAGCAGCTTCAGTAGCGTGAGATAGTTTCAGAAGCAGTCCATAGATAACCTGCCGAATGGGCAAAGCTGTGCTATGTGCGCTGGCTCTCTGCATGTTCTCCACCTGAACATGGAGGAAGGTACTCCTTAAAATCAGGGCATCACTGATAAATGGGGACAGCTCACCTTTTGCCAAAGCATCCAGTACCCACTGTGGTAAGTCCGATTCCCTGGCCGCCTGAGATTCGTACTTTCCATGCTGAAAAAAGTCCTCGAGATTCACATCAGAGGGTGTATAGCCCTCCATTGAAGCGTGCAGGAGCGCCCTTATTTCTTCTCTCTGGTGTTTCTTAAGATATTTCAGTACGTTGTCTATAGCCTCCGTTGGCTCAGCGAAACGAGAGAGCCAGTTCAGCAGTCCCTGAATGCGGACGTGCCTCCTCCCCTTCCGGCCGCAGCACCCAGCTGGCAACTGCACCTTGCTGAAGAAAATCTCAAGAGCCGGCAGATTCACGTAGTCGTTCCCATTCATGACGGCAAAGAGCGGCAGCAAAGTTTTGTTCAGCTGACCGAAGTGGCTGCAGAATCTTTCCGAAGAGAAGCACCTCGCCGGGATATAGCAGCCCAGCGCGTCGTCGCCGCTGCAAACGCTCTGCCACTGGAAGTGGCTCAGGGGGCAGTAGCCGGCTCTCAGGTCAAAGATGCAGAAGTCGCTGTCCAGCGTCAGGACGGGGCAGCCCCAGCGGTTAGCCAGGGCGGCGATCTCGCGGTCCGCCTCGGCGAAGCACTGCGCCAGGGGCACGCC